ATATACACAGAAAAACAAGTAATAAAATATAAAAGGTAGGGTTAGAGAAAACTTCATTGTCAAAAATTATGATGTTGAGCACAGTAAAATCAGGTTAAAATAATTAGATATATACAATAGTAAAAGTTAGATATTTACAGGGTAGTTGAATATGATGGGATGGGCAGAAATAAATGAAATAATTAAAGAAAAATATTTACATAATATATATATATACATAATATTATTATATATACATAAGTATGTTTAGTTAGTGTTCCTCTGCTAGCACAGCAACCCGGCCGTCCCGGTGATTATCGCTCGTAACGGGTTGCTCATTGTGTAAATTAGCTGGTATGTGGCTCACCCAGTTCGGTTACTCCTTCCCCGGGTTTGCCACATCCTGGTGTTATGATTTGTGTGTGTTTGTGTTGTTTATGTTTTAAAATATTTTGATATTATACAGTCAGAGCTCAAAAAAGCTGTGACAGGGCTATAGTTAGTATTGTCCTTAATAATATCATTGTTAAGCAGGACGTTAAAATCAGAGGTTGTACATTTAGTTGCTTCACTAAAGAACTTTGTGTTTAATTTAGCGATGAACTCATTTATATTTTCGATTTTTAGGTCTTTCCTTAAAGAGTCGTTGCTAATTGCCCTTGGGGCTCCTAGCATCATTCTTAATATCTTACCCTCCGTATTGGAAAGCCTTTTTTTCAAATTGTTGGTTATAATTGTTAAAGCAGGGCACGCATACCTTAGTTTGGGTTGTAGATATATTAGCCTTTTATTAGCTAAGTTAAGTTGGGAATTTTTACCTATGATTGAACTTAGACCGAAATAGGTACCTTTTGCTTCTTTAATTACTTCATTGATGTGTGTACACCAACTTAGATTTTGGGATATAGTGACGCCAAGGTATTTTACATTTTTAACAGGTATGATAACAGTATTAAATAAGTTAATATTATGGTTAATCTGATTTTTGTTATTAAATATAATTAGTTGACTTTTATCTGGATGAAGTTGTATCTTTCAATTAATACACCATTCCTCTACTGAATTTAATTTTTTTTTGAAGTAGTGCTCTTTTGGAGCTCATAGATTTAGCAACAATTGCGGTATCGTCCGAGTATAGGGCTCATTTAAATTACAATTATCAATGGGGAAATCATAAGTATATAAAGTATGGGGCCTAATATCGACATTTGTGGGTCGCCAGCATTAACTCTTTTGTATTCTGAGCATCATTTAATTTTATTCTAGAGTGCCTATTGCTCAGGTAGGAATCTAATAGATGAAGGATATCAATAGGGAAATTCGTGTTATAAAATTTGACTACTAATCCCTTATGCCATACTCGATCGAACGCTTTCGCGACGTCGAGCAGGATAAGGGCCATAGTTTTATTTTTGAATTTACTAATAAATTCGAGTATATTAATAAGCTGTTTTGTAGTGGATAAATTGGGCCTGAAGCCGTATTGTTGCTTAGGGATCTTATCTAGATAATTATGTAGTCTTTTTTGCAGAATTTTTTCTAGTATTTTAGGAGTAGTGGGAAGTAAACTTATGGGTCGGTAATTTTTTGGATCTGACGCACATTTGCCTGGTTTAGGGAATAAAATAACATCAGAATTTTTCCATAGATCTGGAAAATATCTAAGGTTTAAACAAGCATTGAAGATGCTCTTGAATAGAAGTATGATGCTTGGAGGAGCATTTTTAGCATTTCATTTGAAATAGAATCGTGGCCGGGACCTTTCGATTTTTTAGCTTTTTAATAATATTGCTGATTTCATGATCACTGGCATTATCCATAATATTATTACTAGGGGTTGAATTAATTTTATCATAGGTTAAGCTAACATAATTTTCTTTGAGAGGGTATGATATATTATTAAGTGAGAACTGTTTTTGCATAACAGTAGAAAAAACCTTGGCTTTATCGTTATTAGTATAGGCTTAATTGATTGATTGAATGTAGAGTTTAATGGCACAAGATCCATAACAGGATATGCTGCGCCGAACAGTTCGTTAATGCCGCTTAAAATGTAAGATGCATATTACAATTTCATTTTATAAAATACATAAAGGCAATAAAACCGTCAATAGCGAGACGAGTATATTTAAAAGTCAATCAATTCCATTAAAAGGCGTAGTTATATAAAATACATGAAATAGGTAAAACTGTGTATGGATAATAAATAAGAGTGAATAAAATCAGATAGAACCAGCTATATATAATATAAAATACAAATAGCTCGCAGAAATGCGAGAATGTTAGGATGATGGTTTTCACTTAACAAATCCTTCATACATAAAATAGTGCTATTAAAAAAGGTAATACGATGTTGGTTATAACAGGGACAAATAGTTAAAATGTGATGAAGCGTAAGTAAAAGGTTACAAGTGTCGCATTTGGGAGGAGGTTCTCCAAACAACAGATGAAGATGGGTGAGTCGAGTGTAGCCGGTTCTGAGGCGAGTAAGCTTTAAAGCCATATCACACTTAGCGAAAATTCGTTCAATTCAACCATCAACTCAACCCCAACTTCGACTTTCTGTTCAACAACCACCTGGAACAGTTGAACTATGGTTGCCATACGGTTGAAAAGAGTTGACCATTGATAAACGAATGATTTCTTTTTTAGGCGATTAAGTGCTTTATACACAGACGAATAAAATTTTTCATCGGAAGACTCAGCACGTGTGGTAGTTAAATTTAATTTAATCGACGGCAATGGATCCTTCCTTTGCAATTTCAAGTTTGATTGTTTACAGTTTGATAAAGAAGAAAAAAGAAAAGAAAAGGACACTTTGGACTAAAGCATGGCGCTTACGAAGACAGAGATTAGGCTGTTATGAAAATTTATTGAGAAAATTGGCTTTGGAAGTAAGTTTGTTTTTATTTGTGCAATCTTTGACATACAAGTTAAAAATTTATAATTAGTTTTAATGTTGGAAAAGTAAATTAGGAAAAAAAAAATTCACCATTTTGTCATATTCGTTGCATGCTGTACTAATTTCACTTATTATCATAAATTAAACATATGAATTTTTATCTTTAGCTAATAGATATGTTTTTAGATTATTATTAGTCATATACTTATTTTAAATTATTCAAATAAATTACCGTTAAGTTTTTTCCATATATTTAATAACATAATATTGCTTTTTGCAATTTACATTTACTATGTATATTTGACTACGGAGGAAACAAAATTTAGTATAAAAGTAAAACTAAACAGAACAAAATTTAGGAGTTTGATAGTTGTTTGCACCAAATTAATGCAATAACAATTATTTTTTTAATGTTTTTGAAAAATTTTTAAAATAGTTTTTTAAGAGTTTGAGAAGTATTATATATATGTTTAGTGAATTACTGTAGTTTGAAAAAAATTGTGCTATTTATTGAAAATTAAATGTTTATGTGAATTATCTGTTTCAGGACCAGGAAAGCTACAGGAGATTTCTAAGAATGGACACTGAAAGTTTTGAGTATTTGCTGGAAAGGATTGAACCATTAATAAGCAGACAAGACACACACATGAGAAAAGCAATACCAGCTGGTGAAAGATTAGCTATTACTTTGAGATACTTAGCAACTGGTAATTAAAACAAATTATTAATTGTTTCAATTAAAATATTTACTTTTTTAAATATAACGTAGCATTTTTTGGGGGGGAAGGGGTGATTTTTAAGTTTAATTACCTTTCCTCCAATAATTATACGTTTACATGGGCTCTGGACCTTAAAAATATTGATTGTATGGTGTAAAACAATTATTTAGTGTACTTATTTTTGTTAAACGGATATAATCAAAACTTTAATATTTCTTTAAAAAATCCCATTATTACATACATATATCTTAAGTATATGCTTGATTTCTGATTGTTTATATATGTTTATCCACCTTAAAATTAGTCATTATTAAAAATATTTCTTTAAATGAACTTTTATTAGATATTTTAAAATGTTTCATTTTATCAATCTTTAAAAGATAGAATTAAACTATAAGTGTGCTAAGTCTTTTTAAGAAATAATATAATAGTATTATTGTATATTATAAATAATCATAATTTTTGCAACCCTTAATTATAAAATCAATTTTATGAAGTTCCCTGCCAAAAATTATTGGCCAGAACAAGATAGTCAATTTTTCAAGTTTTTCACAAAAGAGCTAAATAAATTTCATTTAGCTCTCTTCCGTAAATAAATAAATTTCTGCCATATATACTATTTTGAGTTAAAAAAATTAATGGACTTATAAAAATGTTTTTGCAAGTATTTTACAGATTAGCTTTGTTTTATTAACCGGGACAGGTAATTTTTATACGCTTCATTGAAATTGTGTATTTTAGTTTGCTATTGTTTGACAGTTTACATGACATATATTTCCTAACTAAATTTACCACTTCAATACCAGTAAATATGTAACAAAAAGTTTTTATAAGCATTAAAACACTTTTCCTCAATTATTTTTCCAAAGTGATTGATTTGGAATTGTCTTTGAGCATCTCATGTTCTAAATGTCACTTTTACATTATCCATTGGATAATGTATTAAAATGTATATTATTAAAATGTATTTTAATAATATTATAACCTTCAGGTGAATCAGCATTTTATGCATTCCATTTTTAAGGCTGTCTATGTAAATAAAATTGTTTACTTGTTTAGCAAAATATTTTTTTGCACTATAAAATCTAATTCAAATCTTGTTTAATTTCAACAGGGGAGACACAAAGCTCCATTGCTTTTCAGTTCAGGGTTGCCCAGAATACAATATCAGGTATCATACCAGCGGTATGCTCAGCAATAGCTGAAGTTTTAAAAGAAGAGATGCAAGTTCCAAGTTGTCCAGAGGAATGGCTCAAGATTTCAGAGGACTTTTTCGACAAATGGAATTTTCCTAATTGTATTGGAGCGATGGATGGAAAACATATTAGCATTGTCCCACCTCCCAATTCAGGATCATTGTACTATAACCACAAACATTTCAACAGTATTGTGTTGCTAGCTTTGGTTGATGCAAATTTGAAATTCATATATGTAGACATTGGAACGAATGGGCGAATTAGTGATGGTAGCGTGTACAAAAAGTGCACACTTAAAAAAAATATTGAGGAGGGGAAATTAAATATACCAGGAGGACAATTACTTCCTGGTACTAATCTAGCCGCACCATTTGTTGTTGTGGCTGATGATGCCTTCCCCCTTGAGGAGCACTTAATGAAACCTTTCCCGGGTAAATCTCTTTCAATAGAGAATCGAATTTTTAATTATCGTTTATCTCGGGCAAGACGAGTATCAGAGAATGCTTTTGGCATCTTGGCCTCAAGATTCAGAGTTTTTCAAACAAAAATTTTGACACGTCTTGTCCAAGCTACTAAAATAGTCATGGCAGCGTGTAGTTTGCACAATTTTTTGAGGTCAAGATGCCTTAATTTATATGCTCCCCCATCAAGCTTGGATAGAGAAGACCTTGAAAAAAGAAAGTATTTTTAAGGTAGTTGGAGAGACAGTGCCGAGCCCCTTATCCCTCTTACAAAAAGCGCACGGAATGGGTCTTTTGTAGCAATGGAGGTGAGAACAAGATTCTCGACATATTTTAATGGAGCTGGTTTTGTACCATGGCAAAACGATATGTGCGATTTGCACTAAAAATTTTATTGTTATTAGTTATGTTATTTTTATGTTTTTTAATATGACGATGAATAAATTTTTCTCTGTTCTATCTAAAACTTATTTTTTTGAACTTCTACATTTTTCATTATTCCATTGATCTTAAAGGACTAATGGTAACTCATAGATTAATTGCTTCAAAATCAATAAATGTATAGAACAGGGGTGGCCAATTTGCCGCTCTTTGAAGGATTATTTGTGGATCTCGATAAATGTACCCAAGTTCCATTTTAATTTTGTTGCTATTATATTTTAATATTTTTCTGAATCAATTTGAAATTTCAAAGGGAATTTTCCATTTCCACTATAATTATGATCCAAAAAGTATTTGACAAAATAGAAATGCAAAACGATCAAACTCTACAATTAAAATATAAGTCGATGTTGAGGCTGCTTGTCGAATTATTTCAATATTCAGAACAATGTACTAATGTGAATAATTTTATTCTTCTTTAAAGTTTGTTAAATCCAAACACAGATCAGTATTAACTAACCAGCATCTAAAAGAATTACTGAGAAGTGCTGTCACCAATTATTCAACAAATGTTAAAGAATTATCAAAAGAAGTAAAATAAATGCATTTAATATTTAAGTTCAATACACATATTTTGTACTTATATTTATATGTTTTCAATATAATTTCTGTAAAAAAAATTGAATAATTTTAGCATACCTTTTGAATATGTATTTAATTGCGGCTCGCTAAAACTTCAAATTTTGAAAAATGGCTCGCTTATCAACGAGCTTGGCCACCCATTATGAAATTATCACTTAAAAATACACTTCTGAAATTCATACATTCGTACACAACAAATCAAGATGAGTAAAAAGAAAAAAACTTATAAAGGTACGAAAAAGATTTAGAACAATATGAAAATTTATTAATTCATTAAAAACTTAAATGCTGTTTTAATATTTTTTTTTGAGCCCGAATTCTTTTCTCTTTGTCGGGTATTTGTTTTAGAATTTGGGCCACACATAACCCACATGTATCCTCAACGGAAGCTTCCTTCGGAGCAGGTATCCGGCGCAAGGCGGTCATTGCTTCTTGTAGCAAATTTTCCTCAGCGTTATCTGCCTTTCTTTTCTTCCTTTGCTTCAGTTTAGGTTTATCTTTCGAAGTCCCCGGACAGTTATCCTTCCTCTATCATTTCTTGTTCCTCATTTCCATTCATTATTTCTTGTTCAAGATAATCCGGATGATCTTCTACGATATCTTGACTATAACTGCATGCAAAGGTTATTGAATCCAGAGGATCATTTGATTGTTCCACATTCTAAAAAATGAAATATTTTTATGAATTACTTACTAGAATTGAACATTACAACAGCAGCAGATGCATACACACTGTAAAAGAAATTTATTCATAAAGCTACATCATTAAAACCAAATTTGTCTTAATTTTACTTAAAAAGAAAACACTGTAATTAGCTTATTCTTTGATATTTTTAGTTTCTTCTTCCTATATTAATTCTATTTGAAAATAATTTTATTAACTTA